CTCGGGGCACGCGTCACTTGCTGCGCGCAGTTCGAATGCCCTCATTGCCAGAGTCGGTGTCCTCATCCTTACTACAGAACTGGTATCTAGTGGTCACGTCATGGCGATCGAGTGCCTTGGCTTCCTTACCCAGCTCCTGCACAAATGCGCGGAAATCTCTACCGAATCCTTCTTCCTTCTTTAGGCGTAGTGTAAGCTTCATGCCAGCTCTGAGCTGAGGATGAGAGATCCGTGTCATTATGTGCTGCACGGCAAGCCTCGGTTGCTTGCTTACAAACTCGTCATAACTGCACCTCTGGAGCGTAGAGGTGTACTTTAAGCACAGCCTCCAGAATTGTCGTTCCAGAGTGCATGCTGTGCCACGCCTCTCCATGAAAACGTGGCGTAGCTCGCGTTTCAGAAACGCAAGATCGTAGTGGGAGAGGAGGACCTAGGAGTGCTTCTCGACGCAGTCTTTCAGGTCCTCTTCTGTGATGTCATCGGTATCCGATGCTGGCACCTATCCAGCGACTACGAAAAGCTCAAGGATGGCCTTCGAAATGCAGTTGCGGTAGGAGGTCATGGGCATCTTAACTGTACAGTCAGCTTTTTTCTCTTCAACCCGGCGTTCGTAGACCTCTCTTCTCTGAGCAAACAAAACGAAGTCCGATGTAGATATGTCTGTGAGGCGGGGTGCCTCAACGGACTCCACGATTGTCTGCTTCACGCTACCAGACGGCCCAGAATCAGATTGATTGCGGTCCATATCCCTCGGCCTCTTCCGAGTTGACAGCTCAAGCAAGGAATTTCTCACCGCGGTCCTAATCGCGCGAGTAATTACTGTGGCAACCGGCGGGTTCGAAGTTCCTCGCGAGCGAGGTTGGACGACGTCGGCGGGCGAGGGAGGCGCGCGCGCAGGGAGGAAGCGAGGACGAGGGTCTTTCTGAAGGGCGGCTCCGTTGGCGATGCTCCCCGAACCGATGATCCCCGCCTACGGGGATCTCTCGGGGGTTGCCTTTATTATCGCAAGGGTAACTGTCGCGCGCGGTAGTGGCATTTCGCTTCGTTCTTCAAACGAAAGGCTGGTAGGGGCCGCTCTCCGTCGCACAGCACTGGGGCCTTGGCCGCGCCACCGATGTGCCTGACACGATCTCCCCCGCACTACACCTCGGGCCTTCACGCATCCGGTCGCCTCGAGTAGACCACAGCGCCCTTGCCCGCGAGGCACGTCGACCGGATGCGATCGACGAAGAGCCGCAGCGCGACGCAGGTCGGTACAGGTGATAAAAAGAGTCGACCCTTTTGAAACGAGAGCGAGTCACTGCGAAAAAGGTTCGGACCTAACAATCTGTGCTGATATCGTCACAGACATGAATATGGCTCAAAGGAACCAAAGTAGCGTATTGTTGATTGCGACTCCCGTGTCACTACTGCCGTAATGACTTCTATTCACCACCGAAATCGAACACATCGGACAAACGCAGCCGCTTAAGCATTCATTCCGAAGTTTTACTACAGCTTCACGGCGACTTAATTTCACAGACGCACAGAGGATATTGTCCTTAGCTGCTTCCTTCCGAATTCACAACCTTCATGAAGGCAAGGGGGCCGTTCCACGTCCCAGCAACTACAGACCCACTCTCGGTATTCACCACGAGGCCACTCATATTATCGTTAAAGTGCGCCAGTGTAACCTCAGTCCCGTCGCCCTGTTTGTGCAATATCTTACCAGCTGCCTCACGAAAGTTGAACGTATCCAGGGGCGATAACGTGGTCTTGGTTTCTTGAATATGTATTTCCCTGCCATTCTCCGCATCAAACGTGATCGAACTATCTGTCAGTCCTGTCATTGACCCCCCGTCTCATCGTCCCACACTCGAACCGCTTTGTCATTTGACCTCTACGCAACTCGTTTCCCATTCTCACACATCGCCACGCTCCTTACGTAATTTGTGTGTCCGATCATCGTTTCCCCTAATTGACTTCCCGTGTTGGCGTCCCACACTCGCACAGTTCCGTCATAAGGCCCTGATACAGCCCACTTGCCATCAACACTCATAAACACATCGCTTATCTCAGACGAAAGACCTTCAAAACTTTGACTTACCTTCTTCTTCATGACTGACCAAACAATCACATCGCCGTCCTCGTATCCAATGCACGCACAGCTTCTGTCGTTAGAAACAAAAGCAGCAGTTGCTTGCCTACCGTCAAACACGACTTCGCTTACCGTTTCTGATGTTGACTTCTGCCTTTCAGACCCCGGAATTTCATTTATGCGATATAACTGTGATTCAGAACCGTGTGCAGTACTCTCAGTGCGACTGACAACATCTGCAGCTCGATGCAAGCAAAAGCACACGGCCACTGTTTTGTCGATTCTTTCTCATGCTGTTCCAATCCAAGTGCCTCGATGACTTGGCAGCCGTCCTTCCTCTAGTGCTTCGGGTGGTGCTCCTTGTCTTGCTTCCTCCGGTACTTGAATCGTCCTGCAAACTTCTGTCACCGCTGCTTCTTTGCCGAGAATTTATTTCTTCTCCGTGCTGAAATGATTGCAGGAATGCTTATGATATCTGTCCCCTGTCTACTAAATGTGAATATTTCCAACTCTGCCCCTTCATGCTCACCATATGCCTATCCTACAACTGCACCGTCTGAATCGAATGCGACGAGTTGAATTATTGAATCTGCAATCTTGAACATCTCTGTCAGGCTTCCATCGGCGGTAGCAAGACATGGCTGGAGTGGGAGCAGCCAAGGTCGCGGAGCAAACCTCTTGAATTCCGACAAAACCTCTCCACGTTTTTCAATTCTCGTGTGTGCATCGTCCGATTGTAAAGCTGAAAACAGATTCCGGCAAAGCCGTCGTCGCAAGACGATATATTCAGCCGCGCAGCCTTCATCACTAACGCTCTTCCGGACAACCACTCATTCCCACATAATCCCCCTTCCTCACGTACAACCTCACTCAGACCTTTCACAGCTTCCTCCAACTGCGATACAGCTCTTCTTAACAAAACCTTAATCACCCTCCGAGCACCGACAAGCAAAGAACCTGGGTCCTTCACGAGCTTGGCCTTCAGAAGCACACGATAACTATTCTCGAAAAAATTCTTCTCCGTCCTGGAACCCTTGATCCTCAACCACTGTCTCTACTAAGTCCCTCCCTTTCCGGTAGCTATCTACAAGCTTCCGACACCGGTGTTGATCCCAAGCAGAACCTTCCATCGGCTCTGCTTCATGCACTGCGAAATCCTGCGTGATCATGAAGACGTACCCATACACTCTTCGTCTTCACATCGTACTGCATATTGACTGCATAACCCCACGCTGTTCATCTTTTTGGCGTATTCTTCGGCAGAATGAACCTCACCCGTTTCCCACAGGTCCCTCAACGCCGCTACAGGGATCACATCCTGTTTCTTCATAACACACAACCCGCCGTACAATTCCTGAAACGATAAACGTCCTTCGTGCCCACCAGAGCCTAGAACTTGCAAAGACGAACGAAGCACCGCGCAGAGCGATTCGTAGTCATCCTTTGCTTCCTATCTACCTATTTATTCGCTCTCTTTGCTCTCCGCTGTCTTCGATCTCCATCATGTATGCTGTCCATAACTCTGGTAGGTTCCCAACACGTTTCCCTCGCCCTCGTTTAATACTTACTCCTGCAACATTGCAAGATTCTTGCCGAAAGCATCTCTTGACGTTGGGCGCTCTACCTCAGAGGCCATTGCACCGCTCGTATGAATGATTATATTACTTGCATCCTCCCCTCTCTGTTCTCTTGGAATGAACTTGATTTGTTCGCCCAATTTGTTCGCCGAGGTACCCAGGGTTCGGGTCTCGCGTAGAGTACAGCAGCCTACTCATTCGCACACCATTGCTCTCAGCAGTGCTGGCCAGGAAAGACAGATGTAGAAGAAGCTGTTTCCGTTATTGTTGCGGGCCCATACATCATCGAAGATGAACAGGCACACACGATCAGCAAACCAGCCTTGTACCCCTACTAGAACCACGTCTAGATCGGCCTCATTGGATAACTTTTCCCCTTCATCACATCCCCCAGATACCTTCATCGAATTCGTTGTTTCAGCTCCAATTCCCTCGCGTCCCTCCCAAGAGTTGAAAAGTGTACTTCGTCCGGAAAGCGCCCAAGAATCTATTTGTCATGTGTAATTGCTCGTAGTACGCACGTCTTTCCAACTCCGGGTTGCCAAATTGCTGTCGCTTCTATATGGGGAGTGTTTCCGTTTCTCGAGACAGCGGCTTTTAGCCTCATCTCCACTGTATCAGGAGCAACTCTGCCGTGGTCTGAGTGCATGTCAATGTGCACGGACGGAGGGTTGTAGTCTACCGGAAAGCTGGCCTTGAACATTTTCTTCCACTCTCCTTGTGTGCGTACTTCACTGACCACATGGAGTTCAGTCCTCACCCACGCAATAGATGCATGGAAATCTTTTGCTTTTCGTAGGCGCCCTAGTGGCACGTTTCGATCTCCAATGGCAGATTGCAACGCACTCAAGTTGCCCTTTTTTCTTTTTGTTTTGCTTTTTGGGTTCTCCTTTTCATTCTCAAGCTCTTTGATCAGCTCTGATACGCAATCTATAGGTGAATAAAGTGGTGGAGAAATTGTGGAACGACCTTTCCTTGAAATTTAAACTTGGGAAAGCGGCAACTCATCGTCTTTCTACTCTGTCCGTGACGTCGTTACGTAAACAAACACACTACTCAGTGTCGTACGCAAACCGGCTCGAAATCGTAGAAGCAGAGCATACTGGATACGCCGACAATGGAGCCGGGAGTCGGCATGCAACACAATGCGCAGCATGTGCATCTTCCACAGTTGGCAATGAGATACAACAGTGTACCCGAGTGGTACAGTCAGAGAAATATTATGGGGTCAGTGACGTGCCCCTGGGGTCCTCGACGCTTCCCTACGTCGCTTGTTAGACATCAATTTCGTCTACTGTAATTCTTTCACATCTTTAATGCCGGCGGCGCGGTGCTCACTCCTGTGCTCACTCCTCCTCTCCGACCTTTCGCCTCCGCCACTCCCGGAGCCACTGCTCGTCCCCGAGCTCGACCAAGCACTCTGCCATCGCCACCAGGAAGCCCATGACCACGCCCTCCCCGGCCCCGACCTCGACTCTCCATTCGCCGAACCTCGCCGACCGCTTCCCAACCGACACGCCGCCCCATGCCCCAATCTTGCTCACCTCGCTCTCCCACCCCCGCTTCCCGCCTAGCCGCACCTCCTCGCCAGCCCCCTCCGCCCTCCAGACCACCATGTCATACCGCCGTCTCACCCGCTTTACCTTTCCCCTTCTCAGCCGATCCCGTACCCCGCGCACCTCCCCCGTCGCTCGGAACTTGACAATCGCCGCGTCTTCCCCCCCGACGCGCAGCATCACGCACTCCTCGCCCTCCTCCTCCTCCCACATCGCCTTGCCCCTGGGCAGCGCGCAGTGGAGCCTCTCGGCGCTGGCCAGCGGCACGTCCTCGCCGCACACATCCGCGGCCGCCCCGCTGAACACCTCCACGTACCCGAGCTGGGCGAGCACCACCACGCCCGGCTTCTCCGTCATGCCTAGCCCGTTCACCACGCGCGCGCACAGCACGTCGACGCGCTTCCCGTTCTTCCCGTACACCTGCAGGTCCACAAACCGCTCCGTCACGCCGCTGACGCGGTTCAGCAAGCCACCCGACGCCATCTGGCAGTTGCGCAGCGACTGGGCGTGGACCCACGCCACGCGGGCGCCGCCTCCGGCGCCGCCCTCCTTCGCTGCGTCGGGCGGGGTCGCCGGCACGGTCTGCAGGTCGCGCACGCGCATGCCCGCCCACGCGTCGATGTAGCCGGCGATGATGCGGCGGAGCATCGGGCGCAGGCTGTTCTCCTCGGTGCTGAGCTCGCCCCTCCACATCTCGGCATAGTGGCTGGGGCCGTGCTCTCCCCACACGTCGGCCCACAGGGCTTGGGTCTCGCGCAGGGCGAGCAGCAGGTCCTGGCCCGTGAGGGCGGCGTCCAGCGCGCCATCGTACGGCAGCATGGCGCCGAAGAAGGCGGCGGTGTCATCGTGGTACTGGCGCGCGTGCAGTATGTGGGTGAGCCACACGGCCGAGATGGCGCGCGACGGGACGATGGGGCGGTGCGGATACTCCTTCTTCAGCGGCAGGAAGCGCTCCAGGTACTGGCGGGCCGCGTGAGCCAGGAAGCGCGGCGAGGCGTACTGCGGCGGCAGGGCCAGGTGGTGGTACAGGGCGAGCTGGCGGCGGGCCGCGGCGTCGAAGTCGAAGCGCATGGCGGTCGGCGGAGACGGCGAGGGCGAGGGCGAGGGCGAGGGCGAGGGCGAGGAGTGGTGTGTGGGCGGGTCGAACGGCTCGCGCGGGAAGCGGGCCTCCCAGAGCGCGCGGGCGCGTTGGCGCGCGGGGGCGATGGCGGGCGCGGGCAGCAGCGGGCGGGCGAAGAGGTTGTCCAGCGGGGTGGACGGCGGGAGGATGCGCAGCAGGTCGGCGCGGTACTGGCGCGGGGAGAGCATGTGCAGCACGTGCAGGCGGTGGACGTCGGGCGGCGGGAGCAGGTGCGGGGCTAGGGCGGGCGGGGCGGCCGCGAGCAGAGGGAGCCACACGTGCTCGT